TGAAATTTAGTTCAAAGTCTAATGCAATCATTCTGACAAGATGAATGATGACTATTAATTGTGAGAGCTTATTAGTCAAACTAGCAAATATTTTGTACTTTAATTTATGGTGGCAGCAAAGAAGAGAAAAAGAGTTAGGAAGGAGTTCAGATCCTTGGCCCGAGTCTATTAATAAAGCAAATGCAGATGTGACATGTGTTACCAGTTGATTTGACTATGTACTTGTGTTAGTGATGAGCCCAGAATCAATGGAGCCTCTGCCGCTGTACAAAAACATGCAAATGAAAGCAGGCGGATCTAAGAGCCTGATCAGAGCATTTGATGTTCTCACGTAACGCACGTGTGTGTGTGTGTGTGTGTGTGTGTTTTTCCAGAGTCCTGTGCTGCAGTACCTGTATTATCTTGCCCAAGTGCCCATTGCCATGTCCCCTCTGAGTAACAACAGTCTGTTCCTGGAATACTCCAAGAACCCACTGCGAGAGTTCCTACACAAAGGCCTGTGTGTGTCCCTCTCCACCGACGACCCCTTGCAGTTCCACTACACCAAGGTCAAACTACAACCATCTCATACACTCTTTAGGTTTCTTTATTGCCATTGCTGGTTACATGAAGAACCTTAAATATCAATGGAACCTTTCCATTGCACAATTGGTTATTTATAGTGGAAAGGGTTCTTTAGATTTTTAGATTCACAAAAGTGGAGAGAACGGTTCACTGGAACGGAGAACGGTTCTTTTAAAGGGGTCATATAATGCCATTTTTGTACAAGCTAATATGATTCTTTAGGGTCTAAATTAAAAGTTTGTGATATACTTTAATTAAAAATTCTCATTAGTATTGTAAGAAAACACTTATTTTACCTGGTCAAAAACAGCTCTGTTTTCAGCACGCCGTTTCAGTGCATATGACTTTAAATGATAATGAGCTTTGCTCACCCCGCCTCTCTGTTTTGTGCGTACACTGTGTGTAACACAATAACACAATAACCATAACGCGTTGTTCATTGTAAACGTGGGATTATGAATTATATTGAGAACGTCGTACATAGAAAACATGCCGTAATGTACCCTGAGTGTAAACCTTAGACGCATTCATCGTGACGCGTGCAAGCGATTTGCAAAGATTAATATAAATATTAATATAAAGATGAATAAAACGTTACACTCACTTCAGTTGTTCTGGAGGTTCAGCAGGAACACGAATATCTGGTACCAATCCTTTATTCATGAGCAGCTTCTTAGCAAATCCAGCTTTATACTGACCCTTGTTTATAAAGCAGTCTGCTGAGAAATGATTCGCGCAAACATGAAAGCATTGACGTTGCTCGTGGGGAATATTCCCTTCGAAAACAAACTCAGCCACTGCGTCTTCAGCGGTTCGGATTTAGGAACATTAAAATGACTGCTGTGTTCGTTATTGCACCCAAGAACAGAACACCACAATCGCTTAGACGCCATTCTGCTCATAGACAGTGCTCCAGCATATCAACAATGACCGCGCCGATCCGCGCAGACTATGATTGACAGCGCTCACGAGCGAGGGCGGGTCTGTGTTGAAACGCTGCTGTCAATCAACAATCATGGGAGGGGCGTCCGAGCGTGTGACGTCACACGGTCGAACGGCTTGATTTGAGACGGGAAAACATATAAGGAGATTAAAACAAAAACACTGGATGGATTTTTATCATTTTATGATGGTTGTGTACAGGCACTGCCAACACACATTTCAGTACAATCAACTTGTAAAAGTGCATGTTCCATTATATGACCCCTTTAAGAACGGTTCACTGGAAGGTTCTTAGGGGAAGCAGAAATGGTTCTTCTATGCTATGGCATCGCTGTGAAAACCCCGTTCAGGAACATTTTTGTAGCATTGAGTGTAGCTGGACCCCAATTTCTGACATTTACCTGAAGTAACCACCTAAAATTTAAAATGATGCTCTAAACTTTCAATAAATATATTCAATAATGGACTTTATAAACCAGGTTAAGCCTGACATATGAAATAATAGTCAGAAAAATACACTTTTTGAAACTGAACAGTTTATTGAACCTTTAGACAAAACGATAAAACAAAGAGTATCATATTTGGTACATCAGGCTTTTATTGCTCCTATAGTATGATTTAATGAGAATATAAAGTTCATACTTAAGGGAAACAACACCTCAATTTTAATCAGTGACAAAACTGTGAAAAATTAGCAATTTGGTTCAGTTTCTGATATTTAGCCTGCCCTATATGGCCAAAAAGAAAGATGAAATTCTGATAGCTTAAAATGAAATTAAATTAGGTCTTTTAACAGTATAGCAGACCACTTACATAAAATGCATATAAACATCACTCCCTATTGGCTAATAATATATCCTAGTAACAAGATGAAATACTAAAAGGCTTTGTTAAGAAAAAGGAAAGTATGAATTAGAGGGCAAAATGTTAAAAATAATATACCGATAATTGTTCCAACAGGACTGTGAATGGAATTTTAAAAAGTATAATTTGTAGACAGTTGAAACAACTCAATAATAAATACTCTAATCAAAAATACAGCTCTAAAAATTCTGAAAAGCAAGGAAAGGTAGTTATGATGGTCCTTTTTTGATTAATAATTATCCAAATTCTGACCGTATGAATCAATATCACACTGAATATTTACCTAAAAGATGTATTTATAATATGTAAAGAAAAAGTATATATTTATAATAAGTTTTTAGGTAAATCAAATTTTTATTTCATTTTATTTGCATTAATTGCCATTTTGAAGTTCCAGCCTACACAAGTCTGCGTCTTTGAGAACCTGTGCTGGAATTACATGCTTTTTAAATATACTACTTTGTAATTGTTTTATTATGTGTGTACTGCAGGAGGCTTTAATGGAGGAGTATGCTATTGCAGCCCAACTTTGGAAGTTGAGCACATGTGACGTGTGTGAGATCGCTAGGAACAGTGTCCTGCAGAGTGGCCTTTCCCACGAGGTAGTGCGCATCCTCAATTCATAACATTTACTGTATATAAATATTCGTTCAGCACAACACTGAAGCCCTTTGCCATTTTCCTCAGGAGAAAAAGTACTTCCTTGGGGTCAATTACCTAAAGGATGGGCCAGAGGGGAATGACATTCGGCGGACAAATGTAGCCCAGATCCGCATGGCCTACAGACACGAGACAATGTGTAATGAACTCAGCTTCCTGGTAGACGCAGTAAAGTCAGAGGTCGTTGGGTCGCAGTAGCTGTCCAGTACGTCTCTGCTAAGCCCTCTGTGCCCATATACTGTACATGCATGGTTGCTATTTTTATATACTCTAGGAATGGATGCACAGGAATCCAAATTGTAATGTTTATTATCTAGTCTTGCTCTGCTTCTCATATTTCTAATACCCAGCCTTCTTGTAAACACCGCTGTCTGCCTATGCAATGCCTCGAATGGGCGTTTCAAAGGGGGTTTGGCATACTTGACATTACATTACATGGGCAGTGTCTCCCCCCTGTGGAGATTTGTGAACTATATCCTCTATACATGTACATGTGCAATTGGAAATAGCCTAGTTGTCAGGCAGACACTGAGATGCTTCTGTGGCAATCAAAATTGTCTGGAACATTCCACCCCTGCTCTGCTGAACCAAACATTATCCTACAGAAACTCTCGCACCACTTGCACATCTTTCCCATCTCGTGCCTAACTCCAATTCATTTCCCATAAATTCTCCACTGTCCTTTCAGTAATAAAAAAATTAATTAAAGGTACACTATGAAGCTTTTTTGTTGTTGTTAAGAATTAAGTTACTAGCCACTCAGCATTTTCACTGTCTACAATTTTGACATCGATACCATGGGGGGGAAATGCCATTTAGATATTTCTTATATTATAGGAATATTAGGCTGCTGTCACTTTAAGACCTGACACACTGATCCATTATACTGTTGCACATGCATTTTCTTTCTCAACTGTTTACGTTCACTTAAAACATAACTGACTATGTTTACGTGAATACTCGCCAAGTCTGGCATTCTGACATTATTTTGTGTATTTGACTGTTTAAGCGCCATAAGCAGCGAAAAATAACTTGATTTAGTACTGTGAGGCTGCTTTATGTGTGCGAGCAGAAAATATGCGGGAATGAGTAAAATGATGTGCAATACTTTTAATAATTATAATTGGTGAGAACTGAGGGATTTGAAATGTCATAAAAGTGACGCGGAGATAGCGTTTTTATCACTCAACAGGTAAGTTATTATATTGAACAGATAAAGTGAAGCTTTCAGAGTTCATTGTAAAGCATTATCTGTTGTAAAGGGTCATTCATCTGCAGAGTCACGCAGAGTCAAGCACAACCAAAACAATGTTCTTCTGCAAAATGCCTGCAGTTTTGTCTTTAACCTGTAGTGGGCCAAAAGTTACATAGTGTACCATTAAGTGAAAAAAAAAAAAAAACGTTAAAAAACATTGCACTTAGTTGTCCTTTTTAATTAATGCAGCAAATAATGTTAAGAAGGGAAACATAATGCATTGTTTGAATTAACTTCTTTTGAGAATATCTGTAATGTGTGAAACATTGTTTAGTTTTATTTGATGCAGTGCCTGTAGTGTGTTTTCTGAGGCCAGCATATTTCCCAGACTGCAACATAGTGTCGGCCCAGATCCGGGCCACATCTGGTACACGCATGGGCCGAGTCTGGGTCGACACTATGTTGCTGTCTGGGTTATTCCTTGAAATAACTTAGTAAGATCAATATGCATATATATATATTTTTTTTCCTTTTTATGTTTAAATTTTATAAATGGCAACAAATTATTTAGTAAATAATTTCTCCTGTATTTTGTGTGTGGCTTTCATTTGTTTTCCTTTTTTTTTGTAATGTTTTTTTTTTTTCCATTAAAAGAATATATATATATACACACACACACACACATTCTCATCCTTCCATCACAGGAATAAATTACATTTTAAAATACATTACAATAGAAAACAGTTATTTCAAACTGTAATAATATTCCACAACATTGATGTTTTTACTGTATTTTTTATCAAATAAAGCCTTGATGAGAATAATAGACTTCTTTCAAAGACATTAAAAAATCATAATTATTTCAAACTGTTGTAGTGTATATACATATCTCAAGCAAAGTAACACTTTGAATAACTTTTAGAACAATCCATTTGAATTAAATGTCCAGAGTCCATTTTGTACTTCATTACAAAACAACATCATGACACACACAGACACTTCAGTCTCAGACAGACATCACATGATGTCCTGATAAATACACAGGCAGAAATGTCAGTGTTGGTCTGTAGAAGCGCTGCTGTTGTTTTCTTCCTCGTTCTCCTCCACATGCTCCTCCTGTGGTGTCTGCAGGTCTTTCTTACTACAGTGCTCCCAAACCTCCGTCTCAATGTACTCCTCCTGCTGCTCGCCGTCACCCCGCGTCCTGCAGGGTCTGTTCCTGTAGTGCAGAAACAATTCAGAACTCATACGGCAGCCATCTTAGACTGGGTAGATGAAGCATCACATCTATGGGATCGTTTTGGTTACCAATTTCATTGTAGAAATGTGCAATTCACAGCTTTTATTACCCAGAAAGCAACATAGTTTTGGCCCAGATCCGGCCCACATCTGGTACTCATGGAATCCACGTGTACCAGATGTGGCCCGGATCTGGGCCGACACTATGTTGCTGTTTGGGTTGGCTACTGATATGACTGAACATTTCATGTGAGTGGATATGATTAAAACATGTTTATTCTCAGGATTTAAACTGTTCAATGAGTGAAAAAAGTATATAATTAAAAATCAGCTCTGGAATTCTAGGGATTTGCTCTGAAGTTCAGAACATAACGTAACATTTGAAAACATTTGGATAAAGTTAATAATTGAAGAACTTACGTTTTGAAATAGTAAAGTGCTAGAAATACAGAAAGCATGACTGCAAATGTGACTGTGATCAGTAAGGCAGCTGGAACAGCTGCAAATCAGAAAAGAGATAACAGTAAATACAAGACAGCTTTGGGGTTTAATGTCACCATGAAATCAAAATGGACTATTCTTCTTTTTTTTTTAATGGAATGTTATGTGTTTATTATTTAGGATTTATCCATGCACATAATTATATAGATATAATCTCATGATCTTTCATCAAAATTATTTCCCCTCCTCAACGATCCAATCATCTCCTGATGGACAAAATCAAGTCCCGCCCTTCATTTCACTCCATACATCACAATAAGGACTAATAATAATAATAATAAAACCTTTATTTAACCAGGTGAGCACATTGAGAACACTTTCTCATTTACAATGGCGACCTGGCCAAAAAAGCATCGAGGTACAAAAACATAAGTTACACATATAATTACAAGACAAAGTAGTACTCAATAAACATAGAAGATTAATATCTACAGATCCGTAGATCATGTACACAGATCGGGTTAGCATGGTCCGACAATAGGCTACATTTGCTAAAAATAATTTTAAAGTGATTAACGTAATTGACTATTGAAACAATAGACTTTTGCAACTTCCATTTCATGCCGACTTGAAAGTCTGTGTGAACCAGAAGTTGCGACCGACTGTATTTTCTGAGTGAAAATAGAGGGCGTGGCTTGTTTTTTCCTTTGGGAATTGATTGGATCTTGAAAAGCAGGTGTTCAGTTCAGCCCGCTATTTCATTATTTATTTATTTTTGTGGATTCATTTGTATGGGTAAATTGTTTGCCACAAGACTAGTAATGTGCTAGGGAAATAAATAATGTCAATTTTGATTTCATGCCGACATTAACTGAACAATAACTTCTATCGTATTGAAAACAGCAGTTTACCATCTATTGCGGTGCCGCTCATGGGCAGATGTTTCCCTTCATCATCCATGTGGTTAACGGAGGAACCGTGAGAGAGTGAAGAAGGAACCGAGGAAGAAACGGAACTGAGTGGAGACGATGGGGGTTTCCTCAGGTGAACTCCCGATTGAGCAGTGGGAAAAACTGACGAATGTGTTGTGATTGGCTTTCTCGTTGTTCTGGTTGCGGCAGCCTGGTTTTGTGCCTCGAAATCTGCAACCAAACAGAACCAAAAGGATTGTTACATAACAGACATGGCTCAGTGGTTACATTCACCTCGATCAAGCATTTGCCAATTCATCCCACTCACTGGCTTCCGTTTTACCACATCCCTGGCCCTCATAGGAAACCAATCTGTGATGATGTCACATCCAGAATTTCCCATTTACTTGGCACACTAACAATTTGTGTTGATTTGATGCCAAATGACACACAAACTTGGAAAGGAGTACATACAAAAAAATGTGCATCAGAAATTTGGACCCAGGTATTAATTTCCAATCAATAGGTCTCATATTCACTCACCACACGTGTGCACATGTTTCTATGTAAAATCTGTGTATGAACATTAATGATTCATCATCACGTTTACATAAAAATTTATTCTAAATTTGCTCTAAAACTTAGCACGAATTGAAAACACATGTACTAAATAGTCAGTGGCCTTAGAAACTTAATTTAGTAGTTAGCAATGGAATGATTAAATGACAATACTACAAAAGTATGAATTAGCATTTTCATATTTCTGTGAAATGACTAACTTGAAAAGGAGTACATAAAATGTATTGGCTTTTTTATTATTAATTTACAATCAATGGGACTCATTCACTAACCACATGCACATCTTTGTGCATAAAATCTGTGTATGAACCTTAATGATTTGTCATTTATTTTGCATTAAATTTCAAATAAAATTTCAACCACCAAAAAAAAAAAAAAAACACATGCATGCAACAAAGAAAATAATCAAATACTCAGTTGCCTTAGAAACCAGAAATTTGAAAAAGCACATGTTTTAAAAATATAACTACTAGTGACTTCACAAAAGTAAGAATTATTTCTGAGCAATAATAATAAAAAAGAAAACGGGCAGGGCTCATGCAAGGTCAGAAACACCCATATAAAACTATTTAGTTAATTTAGTTTTTAGTTTTAATCGGTTTAATTTGAAAATGGCACACTGCACTTTACTTGACCATCTTGATGTGAATGCCAAGGACCAGCCCTTGTATGGAGATGATTAGGCCGTATTTTATGCAAATTACTATCACACGATGCCAATTTAGAATATGACAAATTCATTAAAGGTACACTATGTAACTTAAGGCCCTCTAGTGGTTAAACAAAACTCCATGCATTTTGCAGCAGAACATTGTTTTGGTTGTGCTTGACTGTGCGGATGAATATGGTTCTCCTGCTGCTCATAAAACATCCACTACTAAGCTTAAGAGATATAACCAGTTTAGATGGAAATGATCTCAAGCTGACAAACTGAAGCTGTTACTGTATCTACCCATTAATAGACACGGTACTTCCTTGAAAATATATTTCAGCACAGCGCTACAACAACCATAATTAAATTTACCTTCACAATACATAATGCTTTACAATTAACTTTGTTAGATAGCTGCATTTGGCAATTTATTGTTCAATATAATACCTTTCTAACCCATTCAGTAATAAAAACGCCATCTCCGCATCGCTTTTACAACGCTTCAAATCCGTCAGTTCTCGCCATCTCCAAAAAACCAACCAGATTTCACGGCAATTCGTACGAATTAGCCACATGTATTGACTAATGTTGTATCGATTGTTATTTAAATGTTGTTTATTTTGAACAAAAAAAGGTTACAAAGTGTGCCTTTAAGAAAAAAATATATGTGTATACGCGATTGCCAATCATGGATCCGTAACCACAGTATCTAACAATTATTCAAAGTCAAGCCAAATATTTTACCTGTTGAATTGAAGCAAAACACATCAAATTCTTTACTGGGATTTGCACGCCACACGACAATCCCAGTCTTGCCACTGCCACAGTTCGCTTTAACCTGAACTCGGGGAACAACAACTATTTGCTCGTCTATCCACCCGAACCTGAGATTTAAAAAGAAAAAATGTTAATTAAATTGACAATTTAATGTGTTTATTATAATGGCCCGTTGAGCGTTGTACATTGTTTTTACCTGCATGTCTCCAGACCATGTTTCTGTGCCTCTGTCACCTGTGCCTTGCTTGCAATAGTCAAACCAAGATGCTCGCAAAGATCTCTGGCTGCCGATGCATTTAAGGCATATTCCTTCCCAAAGGAAATCTCAGTTACACCGAAGATGGCTTGTTTAGGGTTCACTGTCCATTAGAGGAAGAAAAAAGAAATAGAATGCAGTTAATTAACAACCATTTTGTATTGCAAGGTGAGTCAAAATAGTCAAATTTGTATTATTTATAAGTCATTCCATATCAATATAGACCTCTAATTAAAAGTAGTAAACATCCAAAGAGGATTAAGACAAATAAATGCCCTTACCTTTTACCAACTGGATGTCAAAAGTTAGACTGGACATGAATAAACTATTGAAAAGTGTCGTCTTCAACATCATCATCATCATCCAGACTCTTGCCATGGTGGTGAAGTCTGCTCACTGTGAGTCTCTGAGCAAAGTGTGATCTCTGATGTGTCCTGAGTGCCAAGCGGAGAGGTTATAGGGAGGCTAAACTCCCCAGGGGAGCGGCCTGTGCGTAGAGGGGCGGTTATTGCATAAATGACCCGTACAAAGTGTCATGACCAAGCCGGCGCAGTGGGGAAGAGGAAACAGGAGGTGCGCTGGCATCTATGAGGGACCGGGCTCTTCAGGAGTCTGCTTCAGGCCAAGGCGAGAATGTTTACACCATGAAAACACCCAGTGACGACTGAAGACCTGCTGACGCACTGCACCACACAGTCAAACGTTAACATCCTTTCAGTCATAGCAAGAACGGTAGAAATCCTTAACCTATGGCAGGAAATCCATAAGCCATAATGGTCCAGGCATTTCAATATCAACTTTCGGTTATACTTTATTTTACAGTGTCCTTGTTACATTTGTTACGTGTACTTACTCTGGTGATAACAGTAAATTGTGCACAATTACATGCAACTAACCCTAAACCAACCCCTATTCCTAATCCTAACCACATGTTGTTAATTAATATTACTCGGCATTAAAATTTATAACAACACTGTAACACTGACAAATAGTGTAAATCAACTTTGTCTCAGATGTTTTTCCTTAATTCCCTGAGACAACTGATCACTGGAAGCCAATTTTGACTACATAAGAAATAAAAAGTCAGAATTATGAGATAAAAAGTCATAATTATTACAAAAAGCTGAATTTAAGAGATACAGATCAGAGTAAATGTCAATTATAAAAAGGCGAAAATATGACTTCAATATGAATCATGCTTTAGTAAATCATAATTGTCATAAAAAGTCATGATTATGCAGAAGTCAAAATTATGCGATAAACTGATCACTAATGGTCAGTTTATCTCATCATTTCTCATAATCTCCACACAGGAAAAATAATCATGGTTTGGTGAATCATAATTATCGAAACATAAGTCGAAACTATGAGATTAAAAAGTCGTAATTATGAGATACAAAGTTGAAATTATGAGATAATAACTCGTGACAATGACATGAAAAACCATAAGGAAAAAAATAATGATTTGATCAAATATAATTTTCATAAAAGTCAAAATTATGAGATAACCTGATCACCAATGAAGCCAATCTCCACACAAGAAAAAAATCATGCTTTGGTAAATCATAATTATGACAAACAGTCGAAACTGAGATTAAAAAGCCATAATTACGAGATCTTTTTTTTTAATTATGAGATAAAAAGACATAATTATGACACAAGATGTTAAAATTATAATATTTCAAGTCCTTATTCTGACATATAAAAATTATAAAATTAAAATTGTAAGTAATTTTTTTTATGACAGTCTAAATCATGACATAAAAAGTCATAAACTTTTAGACTTTTATCATAATTATGACTTAGTGGTATCTCATAATTCTTTACTTTTTATGTCAGTTTTTTCTTTTTTTTACAGTATGTGGTAGAAATAGGCACATTTTGAAATCTCTGACTTTTGATTGGTATCATGGCAAAGTGTGAGACATTTATTGTAAAACACTAGAGATGTGTGTGGAATTACTGGGTATTTTTCTTGATAGAATAATTGAAGGAGGAACAAAAGTCTCCATTTAGCAACCTATGAAGAAAACATGAGATTAAAGAGATTATACTGTCATGTGGGAAAGAATTAAGCACTATATGTTTGTTGTGACTGTTCATTTAGCTATGAAAAAACATTATCTGTATAAACTGTTTTTATTTTTACCTAATAGAGACTAGAGTTCAGTAATATTTTTAGGTTGAGTGATAAAACACTTTTATAGTCTATAGTATTTTCAGTGACTCTTAATATGAGTGACATTCATCAATCTGAAGAAGAGTGTAGTGGCTTTGAACTGCTTCTCTGTTGTTCAGATAGATGATGTGCTTAGATCTCTGTGACCTCTTGAGTTGTTTGTTCGGCTTTGGTCTCTCAAATGGACAATTTCCTCCTGTTCCCTTGTGCTTGCTTATTAACGGGCTGATGTCCATCTAACTTCCTGTGATATAACGCAGACACAGCTCTATCCCACTTCCGGCAAAACATCTCTCCAACACACACACACAATCCTACAACATCATCATCTCACTGCAAGGAAGTGACTTGGAAAATATGAGCAAATAATTTCTCTGGAAAGAACCTGACAAGAATATTTTGCCCGTATAAACAGAAAATAATTCTTCAAAAGAATTTTCAATATTTTGGACAAAGAAAATAATTTGACCATTAATATTGTTGCACTGTAAAATTTTAATTTCACTTATTGACATGTGTCAGTGTTTTGTATCAAGATGCACACCAGTAATGTTTTTTTTTTCTAAGGCACGATTATAAAAGCTACTTAAATGTCCTAATTGAACTAAGGCCTAATCCTGGTTTAGTTTTTAAGCCCTGTCTGTGAAACCAGGCCTTTATATTTTAATTATGGCTTATCTCATAATTATGACTTTCTTTATGCACACAGTTGTGGTCAGAATTATTGGCACCCCTGGTAAACATGATCAAAGATGGCTGTAATAATAAATCTGCATTGTTTATCCTTTTGATCTTTCATTCCAAAAATTCTCAGAAATCTAACCTTTCATTGAAGTAAAAGAATTGAAAGTGAGGGGGGAAATCACATTATGAAATTAATGTTTTTCTTCAAAACATGTTGGCCACAATTATTGGCACCCATTTTTTTTTTTATGATTAAAATATCTCTAAAGTATATTCGCATTAATATCTACATTTTTTAGCACACCAGGGTGACAGGAACATGAAACTGTCCAGCTATGACTTCTAAGGCCAAATTCCCTTAATCATCCTACACAATGAGTAAAACCAAAGAATATAGTTCTCATGTGCAGCAAAATATTGTTGAGCTTCACAAAACAGAAAGTGGCTGTAAGAAAATTCCCATTTCCACCATCCAATAATTAAGAAGTTCCAATCAACTAAAGATGTTACGAATCTGCCAGGAAGAGGACGTGTGTCTATATTGTCTATAAACACGGTGAGGTCCTCCTCGAGTTAAGTTCGAGTGGCCAAAGACTCTCCAAGGATCACAGATGGAGATTAGTTGAGTCTTGGGGGTCAGAAAACCTAACAATATATATATATATATATATATATATATATATATATATATATATATATATATCTATCAAACAACCCCTGCATCACCACATGTTGTTTGGGAGGGTTTCAAGAGATCCTCCTCGCTCCTCCAAAAATAAACTCCCGCATATTCAGTTGTCAGACACGACTGGAACTTCAAAAGGGACCGGATTCTATGGTCAGATGAAACAAAAAAAGAGCTTTTTGGCAGCAAACCCACCAGATGTGTTTACAAAGTACCCCATGCCTACAGTTACATATACTGCTGGATCTTATACACTCACCTAAAGGATTATTAGGAACACCATACTAATACTGTGTTTGACCCCCTTTCGCCTTCAGAACTGCCTTAATTCTACGTGGCATTGATTCAACAAGGTGCTGAAAGCATTCTTTAGAAATGTTGGCCCATATTGATAGGATAGCATCTTGCAGTTGATGGAGATTTGTGGGATGCACATCCAGGGCACGAAGCTCCCGTTCCACCACATCCCAAAGATGCTCTATTGGGTTGAGATCTGGTGACTGTGGGGGCCATTTTAGTACAGAGAACTCATTGTCATGTTCAATAAACCAATTTGAAATGATTCGAGCTTTGTGACATTGTGCATTATCCTGCTGGAAGTAGCCATCAGAGGATGGGTACATGGTGGCCATAAAGGGATGGACATGGTCAGAAACAATGCTCAGGTAGGCCGTGGCATTTAAACGATGCCCAATTGGCACAAAGGGGCCTAAAGTGTGCCAAGAAAACATCCCCCACACCATTACACCACCACCACCAGCCTGCACAGTGGTAACAAGGCATGATGGATCCATGTTCTCATTCTGTTTACGCCAAATTCTGACTCTACCATCTGAATGTCTCAACAGAAATCGAGACTCATCAGACAAGGCAACATTTTTCCAGTCTTCAACTGTCCAATTTTGGTGAGCTCTTGCAAATTGAAGCCTCTTTTTCCTATTTGTAGTGGAGATGAGTGGTACCCGGTGGGGTCTTCTGCTGTTGTAGCCCATCCGCCTCAAGGTTGTGCGTGTTGTGGCTTCACAAATGCTTTGCTGCATACCGTAAAACTTCAAATAATAGCCGAGTCCCAAATAGACGCCTGTCTCTTTTACACGCCTGGTGTGGCTGCAGGTTTGGGTAAATAAAGGCCGGTCTCAAATAGAGGTCTGTTTTTTAGTTTCGGGTTGTATTTAATCCTCTAAAACCGTCAGATCGTCCGCTTTTTGGCGGCCGCCAAAGCAAATTGTTGTCCCTCCAAAGCCTTTTTTGATCGATGAGTGATGTAGAATAGAATGACTGCTGCGCCTGACAGGGCGCGTTACGAGCAGAGAGAGAGAGAGAGCCCCGGCCGCGCGCGCGCACTCTCACGTCTTCAAACAACACGAGCGCTGTCTTGCTCTCTCTCCCTCGCGCATATTAATCAAAATCAATTTACACGATAGTAAAAGGTCGGAAGACCGCAGTTTCACGTGGAGCATTTGGAGATTTTTATTGATTAGAGACAAGCCTATACACTCAATGAACAACATCTCAACACTAAATTATAAAGGCCTGTCTCATATAGACGCCTGTCTCAAATACAAGCCGGTGCAGTTCGACGATTTGGGAAAATATAAGCCCGGGCTACTATTTGAAGTTTTACGGTACCTCGGTTGTAACGAGTGGTTATTTCAGTCAAAGTTGCTCTTCTATCAGCTTGAATCAGTCGGCCCATTCTCCTCTGACCTCTAGCATCAACAAGGCATTTTCGCCCACAGAACTGCCGCATACTGGATGTTTTTCCCTTTTCACTCCATTCTTTGTAAACCCTAGGAATGGTTGTGCGTGAAAATCCCAGTAACTGAGCAGATTGTGAAATACTCAGACCGGCCCGTCTGGCACCAACAATCATGCCACGCTCAAAATTGCTTAAATCTCCTTTCTTTCCCATTCTGACATTCAGTTTGGAGTTCAGGAGATTGTCTTGACCAGGACCACACCCCTAAATGCATTGAAGCAACTGCCATGTGATTGGTTGATTAGATAATTGCATTAATGAGAAATTGAACAGGTGTTCCTAATAATCCTTTAGGTGAGTGTATGTTGTGGGCCTTTTTTTTTGCTGGAGGTCCTGGACATCTTGTTCAAATACATGGTATTATGATTCTAGCAAAAATCAAAACCTGACTGCCTCTGCTAGAAATCTTACAATGGGCCGTGGTTGGATCTTCCATCCAAAAAAACATCAAAATCAACTCAAAAATGGGTAACTGAGCACAAAATGAAGCTTCTGCCATGACCGTCCCAGTCCCCTAAACTGAACCCTGTAGAAATGAGTGGGCTGAACTGAAGAGGAGAAGCACCAATATGAACTTGTGAATCTGAAGGATCTGGAGAGAGATTCTGTATGGAGGAATGATCTCTGATCTCTCCAAACTCATCAGACATTATAGATGAAGACTCAGATTTGTTACAATATCTTGGTTGCAAAAAGTATTTGATAAAAGGGTGCCAATAATTATGTCTTTTTATTAAAAAGTATTTATTTTAACAATTTGATTTACCCCCCAACTTTCAATTATTTTATTTCAATGAATTTTTTATTTTTGTGAATTTTTTTAATGAAAGATCAAAAGGATAAACAATGTAGATCTATTTTTACAGCCATCTTTGATCATGGGTACCAGTAATTCTGACCGCAAATGTAATTTTTTGGCTACACTTTTTTGGTGACATAGTTACATTGTATTTACTCAATTAAGTACTGAATAATATTAATTAACTACATGTACTTACAATAGAGTTACAGTTAGGGTTAGTTACTTGTAATTATGTAAGGAATAATTGACGATGGGCTGTTGAATTATTAGAAAAATAATGCACACCCGAGGTGGTAATGCCGTTACACCTAGTTTGTGTGCATTAGTTTATGTGCACACATTTTTCCGCTTATACTACGATTAGTGCAGTGTTCAGATGTTGTATGTCAAGATATTTGTCAGGTTTTTGTCCTTGAAACGCTCTTATGTGTAGGACTCATTTCTTACTCATCTAATCGCATCCATTACTAATTTCAAAACGTCATTTTAGAGCTATAATGGCTTCAGCCACTGATAGCAGATTAATACAGTGCAGTTATATATATAGAGAGAGAGATTAAGCGTATGTGAATTAGCTGTGCGTCTCTCAACAGTGTTGTCACAGCAGCATGACTGTAAGTTTATCTGCTTCAAGAACAGCGCTGTTATTAAGGCGCTGCTCACTGCAGAGCCATGGGCGGAGTGTGAAGTCCAGCTCCGCCTCTCTGAATGTAATTTGAGCCAAATGGGTGGAGCTAGAATATCCAAAAACACCCTAACCATAACTGTATCCCTCCACTTATTAGACGTCAAGAGAGGTGGAGCTGGATGTCATTTGACTTGCAGTGAGCACCACTTGCCGTTATTATCCTGGTAGTGAGAAATGTCATGTAGCTTTTAAAGGGGTCATCGGATGCCCATTTTCCACAAGTTGGTATTTATTTAGGGTCTTCATGTAAAGTTTGTAACATACTTTGGTTAAAACTCCTCAATGGTTGTGTAAAACAACACCTTTTTTGCCTCCTCAAAAACAGCTCTGTTCACAGCGACCCGTTTCGGTGCATGTCTCTTTAAATGATAATGAGCAACCCTTTAAGTTGCTAAATTATTTTATAGGTAAAATCATCAGAGCAGTGATGACGACACGTTTCTGTGCGACTGTGTGTGTGTGTTTGAGTGGGAGAGAGTATGTGCTTTTCCATACATAATAAAAGTAATTTTGTGGCAAAAAACATGGAAATTATTAGTCATTTTTATCCTATTGTTTACTATATTTATTTGCTTGGTGTCGCTGTGGGTTTTGGTTCTTTTGCTGTTGTAGGCTGTAAGGACCTTTGAAAAACTGAAATCATTTGGCGAAGTGATATGGACATGTAATGCGGTCAAGACCTGCCTGGAACTACTTTAGCCGTGCGTTTCCCTGAAAATAATTGCACACCTTAGAGAACATTCATCAACCAATCAGATTCAAGCATTCAACAGCCCCGTAGTATATGCATAATTTACTGTTATTACATGTAGAAACGTGTAACTACGTCACCTTAAAATGTATTTTTATCAATTATTTTGTTTTTCTTTTGATTTTTATGTAGAAATGGGATCAATTTACTACCCCTATCTACTATATTGTGAAAAATTAGAGCAATAAATACCGCGTGCACTCTATAAACAACCAGGTCTGATTTTCAAACACCTTTATTACAAGGTGGAGTGGCACAACAGTAAACACAAGCACACATGTGCAAATATGAATTCTTTCATGCTAGTTAAAAGTGCTCTTCAAAGTTGTGAAAAAATTCTGTACTATTAAAACCAGTGCTCTGAAGGCACAAGCCCACACACAACCGTCAACTACCAGCTGCAAAATATTGCACTTCAGGATCTACCCTTGGAATGTCAATTCGAATAAACAAACATAGACAATTGCAAAGAATTGAAAACATACTGTACCAAATTCTGTATTAAATATTGTAGTTAATATTTCAAATATATATTTCACAAAACCTGAGAAGTTTAATCATAAGGTTTGAGTGGTATAATCATATATCAACTGTGACATTAGTCGCATTAAAATGTCTCTCTAGCCTCAAGTAATATAACTTATCAATGCAAATCTGATTCCTCATCTAAGCACACTTGGTCCCTAAACAATAACAGGTAGTTCTGCTATTTACTGAATGCAGTGTGAAAGACTCGTAGAAACGATATGAGCTGTGTTTGATGAGGGAATAATGTCATTCTGGGGCAGGAGTCTTCGACCCTACATTCAGTCCAAAAAACTTCTTCTTGCCTGGAATGGCGGACTTCTCTGCAGACGTGTCTCCGCTGTCAC